GCAAGATTTACAAAAGAGCTGTAAAATTTCTATGACTTGGGCAGTTTTGAAAATCCGATTTTAAGGTCAAGGAACGTTTTTGCCTTGTTCATGAATATAGTCAATGGCAATTGTAAGCAATATTTTATATTGGTATCAGAGGAATTAGGTCTGGAATCACAAATTCAAAAAATGCGACAAATGTCGTATATAACCAGTACAGTTAGCGAGGACAAATTTTAATATTATCGTATATCATCACTACAAATGTCGTAGTTAGCAAGGACAAAGAAGTACAAGACCTACAGCAGAAGCTGATGCCGTTCTGAGTCTCCAGAGGCTGGTGCTCCGGACAGAAGAAGCCAGTGAAGGACGGAGTGACCGTTGACCCTTGTTTCAGGAGGTTGCCGCAGGTCAAGGTCTCCAACCTGCTCAGCTCGGGGACCTGGACCAAAAGGTCGTTGAAGATGACCATGATGAAGGTGGTGCAGGAGTTGAAGAAGTTTCTGTCTGCCAGGATGTCGTAGTAGAGAGAATAGTCCACGCGTACCTGTGCCACGGAGATAGACAGACTTTACATCTGTGTCACACACAGATAGACAGACTTTACACTGTAGTGTACCGTTAGTTCAGTCAGGGTTTTACAGCACTTGCAACACACATTGGTCATATCGAAGTTACTGGATGGTAACGTATGATGAAAAGGAGGAGAGATGCGGACGGTACATTTTTGGGAGGAAAGAAGGAGCGAACCTCAGCAGAGCAGCCGCAAACCACCCATGGGGTGGTGCAGTGTGCAGTGGTCAGGAAGCCATGCTGTGTGAGTAGAAAGAAAAAACTAACTTGTGACAAAGACGGCTTAGAGTTATGCAAATTTCATATTTAAAAAGGCCACTTTTGGTTGTTTATTTGAATAGTAATTTTTAACCAGCATATGAGACATGTTTAGAAAAATGCGTTTCGTGAAAAAATCAAAGTAACAATTTGTGTAGTTCCCCGATCTTAACAGTGTGGTGACTATATGTATGTAAACTATGACCCGAGGCAGACGTTTCTCACCTGCTGTGAGCAAGATTTGAGCGCCACAATATTATATATATA